TACCTCAAGACCTCTTGTAGTCGAAATTGCCATGCTTTTTTTTCATTAAATCAAAGTAACAAATAAAAAATACCGATTGCACAGATAATATGAGAATGTATAAAGATGTTTGGGCAACTTTTTCTTCATAAATGTTCACTGTTGGACTTGAGCTTCACATGTTGGATTTGCCCTTTATTGTCACGCTTTGAAAGCGATCGATGATCGCAGTACCATACGTCCCGCACGTTTGACGCTGATCCGTTTGACCCGTCGCCGGACTGGTTATTTTACGCCTGGCGCAAAAATATTTTACCGTGTAGTGGCGGTATAAGAATATCCATTACTCCATATCATTCCGTGGATGGGTGTCTTAAGAGGCGGCAGAGGGAAACAAATCAGGAGATTAATATTTTGTATCATTATAATGTACGCGGCTTTAGGGTGGCCAAAGGGCCACCCCAGCCGCACCTTAACCTACTGTCATTGATATTGCGAGTTTTGACCGATAGTCTGAATTTGAAATCACACAAAACCACTTTTGAATAAGAACGTAGGTCAAAACCACATTTGGCTACAAAAATCAGTCAAAACTGTTTTTGACCAAGGGAATCAGCCAAAACCATTTTTGGCTGTTTTTTGCTGTCAAAAGGAGTTTTGACCGGTTATAAGTTTTGACTGTGACATATATAGAGTTTTCTCACTTCTGATGTAGTTTTTAATTTATATGGTTTTCATAAATATGGTTTTGATACGAAACAGCAGCGTCTTCCTAATAACGATTAAAACTAAAAAACCGCGGTTGCCAATCCGCTTTCCAAGCGTGGCAACTTTGGCAAATATCCCCCCTATGAGCCAATCTATGGGGGAGCCCCATGGTAACGGTAAAGAGATTGATCTACCGCCATCTATTGGGAGCCTCAAGATCTTCCCAAATTCATTGGCAGTGAAAAATCTGATGCCGCGTTTTCTATAAATATGAAATGACATGTATCAACGGAATTTGTTTCACGTATCTTGATCTAAGGGATCTAAATACGAGCGCCAGAGAACGCGATACACTACAAAATTACTTTAATTTGGTTTCGAGGAACGTAGTGCAGGACCACCTCTAGCGGCCTCTAGTTTCCGACGTTTACGTCCCATAAAGAATCTAATTTGCCCTTCAATTTGAAGGGAATTGGATTTCTTCACGCGTCAAATGTCTTATGAGATTTTGAATTTCACGCAAATAAGTTTTGCTTTCTTCTTTGTGCTATAAAATCGTGCACATGGTGCACATCTTTTTAACGCGCTTTTATTAACTTATGAATTTAAATAATTAATTTAAAGTTTTTAGTTTTAGTTTTTTTTTTTTATAGTCATTGCATATTTTTGAATGTTACTTAAATTACACTGTTTTTCAATTCAGTTCTCACAGACTTGCGGACATCTGAATGATTGCTGACGTATTTTAATTATGACATTGACATTGTAAATTATGACATTCTGAATTATATAACTTACATCTAATAAGTTGACATTTTAGAATCTACTACCACCTATATTAATTGGTAATTTAAAAAAAGTTTGCATGCCGTATCTCATGGCTAAATAGGTCTTCAAGCAACTTATTTTTATTGTAAAAACCTACCCTATTTATGGCAAATAAAGAAATTTGAATTAGAATATTAAGAACCGATAAAAATAAATTAATTTCATGAATATGTCCTAGTACTAGTAGTACTGGACTACCTATGTGTAATAATATCACTAGGACCATCGCTCATTATCAATATGTGTTTTTTTAGTTTTTTCTTTAGTCAATTTTTTTATTTGCTTGGCATTGAAATAAACGTCTAACCGGTTTGTTAAGCCTGACAATATTTATTTTTATTTATTTATTTAACAAAATCTTTTTTGAAATTTAAATGAAATTTAAATTTAAAATTACGTAAATACACCTAAATATGTAATACTGTTGAATTAACACTAGTGTGGACTCTTTCAAACGATTGCTCAGAAAATGAATACATTATTAAATGATTAGATAAAATAATTAAAAAAATATTATTTATAAATGTCACTTGAAAGTATTTTCGTTTTATTTATTTAATTACTCATCAGTAGTTTTTGATATTGACAATGCGATTATTCTCTGTCATTTATTTGTGGACGGTGAATCACCCCGTGGTGTATATTTTCGCCGGGTAACTAACAGTTATATAACATTGCTAATAACGCCTCCAATCAATGCACCCACAGCGCCCAGGGGGCGTGCGCTGTGACGTCAGTTTCCGGGAACCTCCGGGATTTATGTGCCTCCGATGCGAGCAATCTTTAAATTATCGGATAGAGATTTATAACGCCAGTGTGCAAGTGCTCCCGCTACTCGAAACCTACTACCTACAACAAAAGCAATGAGTAGATATGAACTTAATATTTTATTTCTTATGTTGGAAATACATAAATGTGCCATAAAAAGAAGAAATCTTGTTAAATGTATGCTCGGCGGTGAAGGAAAACATCTTGAGGAAATTGTGTTTCTTATATACATAAATAATAACAAAGTTTTAACTGTTTAGATTTAAAAAGTTAAATATTGTCTTCTTATAACTATAATAGTGATGCTAAATATCAGAACAGAGAGTTATATCGACGTTGAATTCTGTTCAAAGTTTAGTAGCCTAGATTGCTCTTGGCTAAGTTGGCCACGAAAGGTGAATATTTTGACGGTCTTGGTATTCTAGTTGTTTTATAGGATAAGGGTGACAAAGGAGGTCGGGAAATCGAAGGTGAGTGATGTACTCGCCGTTTATGTTAGTACCGTATCATTTCCAGTCCAGAAGCTTGAAAACGTCTTCCAATGCACCGGCTACAGTGGTGACCCCGACGTGATCCCACTGTAGTCGGTGGAAGGAAAAGGGGAGATCTCCCGCCGAGCAAGGTGTTCTGCCCGGGGAGCGGCCAACGCTCCGATTGATAATTCGGAGCTATTCTATATATGCTGTTTTAACTTCGGATCTTTGTTAGAGCGATTTTGGCTTCGATATGTTTCGTATATGCTGTTTTAACTTCGGATCTTTGTTAGTGCGATTTAGGCTTCGATATGTTTCGCTTGTGGTGCGACGACAGCGCCGCCACAGACTTCTGTATAATTTGCCGAAGGGTATGTATGTGGTCTATAGTACTAAAGCCTTTTCGGAAGGCTGGAATTCGTCGAGTCTGCGTGCGAGACGATTCGTAATGACTCTCGAAAACAGCACGTAGTAACAGCAGAAGGGAAATCGGTATGTGGTTCTTCACCGCACTTGTGCTCCACGCCTCCGGTGTAGTCTGGTGTAGTATGGAGAACAGAATTAAAGAGCTTTTGAAGAACTTCAAGTACCGGTTTTCCACCCGCTTTCAAAAGCTCTGCTGTAATTATATCCTCGCCTGGGGCCTTGCCGTTTTTAAGGTGCTGGAGAGCCATTCTAATCTCGCTCAGACTGACGTCCGGAATATGATCAGAATAGTGTCGGATAAGAATTCCTCTTGGATCGTTACTTACACTTGCGTGTGGCTTCAACGACGATGTGTACAGCTGCCCATAGAACCTCTCAATCTCACTCAAAATCTCAACCGGAAACGACGCTGCCACACTCGGTCTTCAGCTTCTACAGTTGGCTCTTTCTGGCAGACAGATCTCTAGCAAAGACTTTGGAGCCCTGGTTCCGCTCGATCGCTTCTTCAATACGAGCAGTATTAAAGTTGCGTAAGTCCCGCCGCATGCATTTGGAGATCTATCTGTTCAGTTGCCTGTATGCTGTCAAATCTACTGAAGACTGCAGCTTCATTTACCGTCTTCATCTACCGTCATTTAACAGCCATGAGATTAAGAATGTGATCGGAGAGTTTTTGCGAAAGAACAGTAAGTTTTGTAAGACCCGCCGATCACCCTCACCCTCGCGATCACTGAGACGTCACTGAACAGTTGTCGTCTGGTCGTCGTAATGAAATCAAATTCATTTTATGTCGAACCGTCGGGGCTCGAGCAGGTCCACTTTCTGTGGGGCCGCTTCTTGAAGAAAGAGTTTACCTTAAAAAATCCCTCTTTCACCATGAAGTCGGCCAGCTGCTGGCCCCTTGGGTTCCGTTGCCCTATTTCAAATTTCCCTACCCTAAGCTCACCGTTCTCTCCTATATATATAATCCTCTTTAATATACTATACAGTCCAACATAACCGACGTAATCAGTTCCACTTTGTTCATTCCCCTGATGCAATTGACGGCTCCATGGCGCGGGTTCGAATCCCGCAAGCAACAAGTATTTGTATGGCCTACAAATAATTGTTCTGGGTTTGGATGCTTGTTCTTGTGAAATCTGTGTATGTAAACTGCCCCCGTGATACAGGAGAAAATCCTAGTGCGGAGGTAACGTTTTTTTTTTTTAACAGACTTGAACAACTCTCTTAAAATCCCTTTCTCCAGAACTAAATTCTATTCTCACTCTTTTAAAGTACATGCAGTTACGTTATGGAAAAATTCTGTTCCTGCTGTAATTCATGAATATCAAACAGTTTCAGGGTTTAAAAAATGAGTTAAAGATGATGATTTAATGCATGACTTGTGTATATGTATTTATTATCTTTATTTTATATTGTGTATATTAACATTACAATAATTATTATGAGAGTGCACACTAAGCCTGTTTCTCTTTGAACTGTCATGTATCAGGTCTGCTGGAAGAAATTTCAATGTGAAATAATATAATAATAAGCAGTGCCTTTGTACAAAATATGTTTTTATTTTCACATTTTAACATTACTTTTATGTGTACATAAAATGTTAAATAAATGAATAATAGTATATGAGCAGTGGTAACTCGGGGGCGAAATAAAAATATTCGAGTGCATGAAGTCCGAAAACACGCACTGGAGCAACGCGGCGGACTTAATGCTCTGCAAATGCTCCATAAAACTCTCAGAAGGCCAGCAGTGGGACCTTTATTGCCTCTAACTTTACTTTTACCTTTTTAACATAATTATTTGTTTTCGTTGCAGATGAAGTGGACGTGATCGGCTACACGTCGAACCCGAGTGACTGTGAGTCGCTGGTGTCTGGGCACAGTGGTGACAGCGGCGTACCGCGCAGCGTTACACGCTCCAGGTATGCAGCCTTGTATAATACATTTCCTTCATCATCATCATTATCATCATCGTCAGCCCGTATAGGTTCACTGCTGGACATGGGCCTCTCCATTTTTATTCTATTTGATTTCTATCCATTAGTTTCGATCTTTCCTGTGCTGTAATATTTGTGCTACACCACAGATTATCTATGTGCTACACTTACCATCAGCGTTGTGAACTTGTGAGACTAGAATGTCTGTAGATACTGTGTATTTTCTACCGACTTCAAAAAGGAGGAGATACTCAATTCGACTGTATGTTTTTTTATATCTTATCCTCATAACTTTGTTCCACGTGAACAGATTTCGATGATTCTTTTTTATTAGAAAGCTTGGTCCCATATAAATTTGATCAAGGTCTGACCAATTGTTTTTGAGTTATCCTTAATAATATATATCGAAGTCGATTGTACAAAATTTTTAATTTTAAATGATTTCTATTTTAATAACGAAAATTGTTTCTTAAAAAAAAACCTGTTGCGCACCTCGAACGCGAAGGTTGGGCTATCCTGTTGACATAATAAGTTCACGCTACCCGCTCTTGATTAATTTGGTATATTATTTTTAAACCGCACTAATACGTGAGGAACATTAATATTTGTTGCATTGCAGGTGGGCGAAACGTGGCGCGAGCGCAAGCGCGGGTCGGAATTCGTCGCAAGCGTTGTAAACTTCGTAACATAAAACAATCGTAGGACATTTTGTTGGTATATGTACTAAGGCGAATGTTGTTTGTGACTGACCGGGACGGACCGGTGTCCCGACAGAGTGACTCGGCGGAGAACTGCGCCCGCGCCGCAACACGCACACACAAACATACTCACTCACACACACACAAACACACACCGACACACACACACCGACACGCACACACCGACACGCACACACCGACACACACACACCGACACACACACACCGACACACACACACCGACACACACACACACACACACACCGACACACCGACAGACCGACACACATACACACACCGACACACACACATACACCGTCACACACACACACCGTCACACATACACACACCGACACACATAAACACACACACATACACACAAACATCGCGCGCGCGCACACGCACGCACGCACGCACCTAACACCGTCACACCTCCATCATACTGAGTACAAAATTGCCAAAAATTCAGTGTTTATTTTTTCGATTTTTTCCAATTTTGAATTCTTTTCACTGCTCAAATTTTTTACGTCCTTTCTTTGATATTTTATGTAATTCCTCTATTTTAATTCAATGTTTATTATACTTTTATAGCAATGTCTGGATTAACCTCGCCAATGGCGTTTAAAAAAAGAACTAGAACTTCCTCTGATTCAAAATACTTACTGTATTTCGAACCAGAGGAAGTCAAGGTACTTTCTGCTGAGAAGAAATAGCGTATAATTTCCAGTAAGTTGCTATAAAACCTAGTTTATTATTTATGTCACATTCAAATAATTACTTATTTACCTTATTCTTAATTCTTATTATATCTTCTATTACAATACCATAAGTTTTACTTTACATTTTCATTTCATCAAACCATTGCCAATCTAATATTTTCTCGTAACAATATCACAAACTCATTTTGACGCTCCAAAAGCTTTTAATAAATCTTCGACTTTTATTTTCGTTTATTGTTTTCATAAGAAATACAATGTTGTTTTACCTTTCGTTTATTTTATTTCTCAAATTTATAAAGAAATATTTAACTGTCTTTCGAAATGCTATTAGAAAAGTCTAAGTACTTATTGTTAATGATTTCCACAAAATGTCGCTGAAGTGGCGAAAGTTGTATAGATAAATATCAATTTTATATTTTGTATATAATTATTTTTTCTTGTATAAATTAATCAAATAGAATTAGATCTGTGGATGTTAAGCGGTAAAATGCCGCTGCTAAATTATATATTAGGGGTTCATCACAGCTAATGAAAACCCACCAAAAGATATTAATTTAAGTTCTAACAATTTTCGTAATTATTCTGGTACTAACGAACGCGGCTATGAGAGTTAATAGATTTAAAATCACATAAGTCGCTTATTTAGTTTCGAAACAAAGACGTACCAAAAAGGTTCGTAAACTGACACTAACCGAAATGCCATTTTTAAAAGGAGTACCATTGAAATGTAAGTGGCATACTAACGTACCTAAAATGTCCAACATACGCTAACTAACATCGTATTTTTAAGTATTAATTTTGAATATTAATGATCTCACTTCACTATCGCGCGTCCATCTGAGTAATGTGTCATTTTTGGTTTTGTATGCTTTTTTCGTTTATTATCAGAACGACAAAGAAAGTAAAACGAAATGCTGTATGTCAAGTGACGCAAAAACCAAGCGAAAACCACGCTCAAATTTTTGCAAGAACACTCGCTTACATAAATATGCATCTAAAATCATTTGCAACCAGCAACATGGTTTTAGGTGCATATGTGTGCTTTCTAGCAGTGAACTTTTACGAGCTGTTAAAGAAAAAAACGATAGATGTGTGCGTAAGTGCGCATGATTTTTGCGTCCACTGAAATGTACGAAGCTCTTCGTCTATTTTTTTTTTGTCTGAGTTCTTATTTAAAAAATGGTCTAAACATATTTTTGTGGTCAGTAAAACACGCAGATGCATAAAGTGGTGTTTACTTTGAATATTTTTATTATTTACAATATAATTATACTTACTGGAACGTTGATCTTAAAATACGAACTATTTAATTTCATTTTAATTTTCTTGATGTTATTAATATGTACAATAAAAAGACCAAAATCTACGGTTTCAATGTGCAACCCTTATCTTATTTAATTAAAAAATGTATCAATATCAAAGTGTACATTAAATAGATCCGTACATTAGTAATTTTATATAGATAATATTTACTTGTGGCGCACTACGTAGTCACAAAAACAAACAAATACTTTTGTTTTTATACTTATTCTACTTTTTAAGTTAAAAACATTCTTCTTATATCCTCAGACCAACAAAGAAAGAAAGACGGAGCGCTGCGTACATTCCAAGTGATGCCGAAACCATGCTCACACACATACATCTTTATCCTTTCTTTATCAACCTGTAAAAGTTCACTGCTATGCGCACGCACACGCACATAAAACCATGTTAATCGTTACATATGGTTTCAGATGCTAAGTGGACGTGAGTGCGTGATATTACTATTAACAAGTTGAGCACGGTTTTGGTTTGGTTTTCGCGTCACTTCAAGTGTACGAAGCGTCTTTCTTCTTTGTTGTTCTGAGATTTCATCACATTTAATTTAATGTAATTTAATATATATATAATACAATTTGTGTAAGTTTTACAACACGACCATATCTTCACTCTGTCATTCTGTTTCAAAGAGTTAAATGACTTTGTTACTCATAAGGACATTAATTTATGTGGACATACCAAAAATAAATATACAACATGGAATGAAGAGCTGGACAATACGTCGTGACGGAATAATTTCCTTAGGGATCGACATCTAGAAGAGTACACAATATATTTTTGTTATAACTATTGTATCTTATAAATAATAAATTGTTAATTCATTTTATGATGATGTGAGAGTGGTTTCTCATTGTATAATATTTTCGATCGTTTTCATGGACGCGCATTCAGGGGCCCAGTTAGCTCGATTCAAATCTCATACTATCCTTCCCGGCCCACTTGAATGTTCGGAGTCTGAAAACACGCATACAAAAATGGTATAATTGTTTTAAATAAGCGTAGTTTTAAACGTATTATCATTTGTAAGTTTAACATTTGTTTTAGAAATGACATTCTGATGATCTCTTATTAAGGTTTAAATTGCGTTGTCAATTAGCGGCAGAGCCGCGTGAGTCCGTCGGGCGCCACACACTCACTCGTATTCGTAAAGACACGACTTTGCCGCGATTTCAAGCACACGTCCATTTCATGACATTAAAAAGTCCGCCAAAACGCGTAAAAACCATAGACAAATTCGTTCGAAAATAACGCGATCCGTTCCGTTTAACGTTAACGGTAGTTTTTGTTTGATACCTACGTAAAGCGATACTGTGCAAATCTATATCTTTTAAATGTTAAATATTTTTTGTCGACTCAAAAACCTTGTATGTGAAACCTTTAATATTGGAATATAGTTTCATCCAGCAATAAATCTAGTCGGATATAAACGCGTAAATATTTTCAGAAAACAAAATGCAATTAAAATGTTGTAATATCTATTAATAGTGTCGAATTACGATTAAGTTGATGGCATATAATTTTTTCATCTTCGACTTGGCATCACTTTTTGTAGCTATTTTCAAAACAGGGCTACTAACCAGATAACCATGTAGTTCAGTAAAAGCGTTCAGTTAAGCGTTTAGTCAATAGACCCGGGAAACACTTTATCTTTATATATATATATAAATTTACGAAAAAGCCGATGGCTACGCGCCTCTGTCAAATCCTGCCTCGACTATGTCAATATTGATAGAATATTTATCTTTTGGAAATTATTTATATTATCACAAATTTGTTTAATTTATTTTAGGGTTGCATTGTCGGTGTTATAAAATTCGTACCAGTGTTTCGCTTTTGTCAAGATTTTTGCATATTTCAATACTCCATCCGGAAAACCGTATGCTGGGAAACTAGTTTTAGGAAATGGAGAGGTGAACCTTTACGTTGTTTCACTCACTTCATTCACTGCATTCTATTGTAGTGGGTGCAAGCGACGACGGGACGCTTTAAGAGTACAAATTCTGTATAAGCCCCTACTTGAGTGTTAATTTTGTAAACGATATTTTTTAAACACAAAACGGGGAGGTACCTCCATAGTGATACTCTAGGGCTAGAATCGCGCGGGCGACAGTTGTAGAAAACGGATCCGGTCACCTCTGCCTTCGGTGTTGTCTCTTCCTTAACTAAATTTTATCTGTATCCTATTGCTACAGTGACTTTGATTTGCTATATCTTCCAGCTGTAATCACTTCTCTTGTAGATTATCGAGCTTAGAACGCTCTATGTTAAGACAGATGTCTCACTGTAACGATAGGGTATTAGAAATGGTGCGTCGCACTGTATGCGCACGCACCTTGTTAGATAAGAAATGTGTTATTAGAAATGAAATTGCAATAAACATTATTCACGTCTATCCGGGGGCCACTGCAGCCGCTCCACCGTGATATACCTTAATCGCTGTAAATTAAATTTAGTCCAGCATTGTAAAAAAATATCAGGGAAATTGTAAATATTTGGAGCCAAAATTTTTATACAAATTATTTCATAAATATATTCTTGGAGCAATTTGACGGTGGAGCGACAAGTCCAAGCCGGATAGCGGGCTGCGTGAAACAACGCATTCATTTCAAACTCCACTAAAACTTTCCGAATGCATCTGACAGCTGTCAATTTTTTTTAAATGTTGACAAATATCAAAGAGTATCACTACGTTTTACTATTTTCGACAAAATAAATGTGGCCATATGAAAAATTAAATCGTTATATACCTAAGTAAAAGTAAAGTAGTTACGAGGGTTGCACTTATGTAATTTAAAAAGCCAAAAAATATTGAACGCTTTTTAATGCATTCGGAAGGTTAGAGTATTTTGCTGCAATAAGTAACAACGGCGAGCCCGCAGTCAACCGTTGTCTGAAAGTAGAGGCAAACATTAGGTACTATTGCGAATTCTGCTAACAAGAC